CTGCGGCCTACCACGCCCCTCTCAGTGGCCATTCAGTGGGAAGACACCCTCTTCTTACACGTTTCCTCCGCGGTGCAATGAGGCAGAGGCCTCCGGCCAGAGAAGCTTATGCTAAGTGGTGGATCAGGATGCTATTACATAGCCTCGAGTCCTCTGACCTCCCCTCTCCTTTGGGGGTCAAGGCTCACTCCTCCAGAAGTTGGCCTTCGGGACGGCGGGCCCCGCCTACTTTAGCCACTCCTGGCTCCCTTTTCTCTCGCCTTAGTTGTGCTCTTCCACACTAGGCAGGGATTTGCAAGTCTGGCGGCGTGGGCATTCTCGTTCCCAAAGCGTATTCCGACGCAGCTCGAGTTCCTGAAGAGGAACGTCTCAGGTTACGTATGTAACCATGGTTCCTCGAGGGAACGAGATGCTGCGTCTTTGTGCCATACTTCCGGCATCCCTGCCGGCGCTTGCTTCATTCCTGAAGCTGACGCCGGCTCCGCCGCACGTGCTTTTATAGCTTCCTGGCCATGACGTCACCTGCCCGTGACGTCTCGCCCAGCTATTGGACTGATTCCACATTGAATTCAGAGCGTGGTCACAGAAGGCGTTCCCAAAGCGTATTCCGACGCAGCGTCTCGTTCCCTCGAGGAACTATGGTTACATACGTAACCTGAGACGTTTTTTCTCCTGATAGGATTCAGACTTCTTGGTCTATGGTCAGAAAGGTCTGTTTACCATTGCTATGTTTTGTAAAACGTGCTATAGTAATACAACCTGCTCATTTTGTATAGTTATTAATAGGGATTGTGTGAATATGTGTGAGCATATGTGGTTAGAACGGTTTGACAGAAGTCATGAAGTCGTGTAATTTCTCACTGCAGATGCGGAGACCTTGCAAATGGCATATTAAGGCTTTTTGCGTACATACACTCACGTTGCAGAAAATATTGGATGACAGGTTTTTTTTTTTTGTGCAAAATAAAAATAATACAAGGTCACCAGAGGCTAATTGTGAGTCTACCTCATATTTTTCTCACCTTCATGTAAGCTAAAAGTGGTGATGTGTGTGATGGACAGAGAAAAGAGAGAAAAAGAGTGTTTGATAGCATGACAGCAGTGCTACAGTTGGAGCCTAAATAAAACCCTATTAGTCTAAATTAGTCCATCACACATCTGCACACCAGGCAGGCTGTTTTTTTGACAATGCCAGGTTTCTCTCAGTGTCAAGCTGATCCTGACTGTACGTTTATTAGATGATAACCTTTATCTAACCAGGTTAACCTAAGTTGAAAACCCCATTTTTAAAAGATGGCTGGATATGACAGACGGATCAAATGACTGATCGAATTTTACACCTCCATCATTGAGACTATTCTAACCTAATCAATCACTGTCTGATTTGGGGCCACATCTGCCCACACCAAGGACAAGCCACGGCACATTATTAAATCTGTAGAGCGCATTATGAGTTTCACCTGCCTTCTCTCAACAACCTTGGGGCAAGGAAGAGTGTGAGGAGGTCCAAAGCCCATCCGTCCTCCCCCACACCAACCGTCTCCTTTTCCAACCCGTTCCCTATGGTCAGTCAGAAAAAAAGGCAAGAAAAACTGCTGCTTTCAAACGAACAGTGACTCATAGGTACTCTCCTTTACTGTTGACATTACCTACAATGCCCTCACATACGTGATACTAATATGTGACCCTGGACCACAAAACCAGTCTTAAGTCGCTGGGGTATATTTGTAGCAATAGCCAATAATACATTGTATGGGTCAAAATTATAGATTTTTCTTTTATGCCAAAAATCATTATCATAAAGATCATGTTCCATGAAGATATTTTGTAAATGTCCTACTGTAAATATATCAAAACTTAATTTTTGATTAGTAATATGCATTGCTAAGAACTTCATTTGGACAACTTTAAAGGCGATTTTCTCAATATTTAGATTTTTTTGCACCCTCAGATTCCAGATTTTCAAATAGTTGTATCTCTGCCAAATATTGTCGTAACAAAAATGTCAAAAGCTAAAAGGGTCTCTTAAGCCATAAAACCCCAAAAATCATGCATGATTCTACGCAGACGCTACAGTGTTCTGTTAATGTTACTGGAAGAATGTTTTTGAACGATCTCCAGCTGGAGTGCCCATGAACTCCACCAGTGAGCACTCCACCCCTGACTCTTGCCACTCTCTCAGACTCCATTTTCCATAATGCTTTGCATGGACTCATCATACTCATTGTCTGCACCTGTGTCTCATTTACCCTGTCTGTTCACACTATATAAGCCTGGTTTAGTTTGTCATTCTTTGCAAAGTCTTGTAAGTGTTACACTGCATCTCTGATCGTTTCTCCTCTTTATATGTATCTTGGTTTTTGGACTCTTAGCCTGTGTTCTGGATTACCCTTTTGCCTGTGTTCCCTGCATTGTTGTTTAGTCAGACTGATTGCCTGTGTGTTGACCCTTGCCTGCTGTCTGATTTCGATTCTGGACTTTCCTAATAAACACTGCATTTGGATCCTCACTCAGTCTCAGAGCAGTTACGTAACAGAAGACTTCGCCAATAATGGATCCAGCAGTGAAGATGGATCTGGCAGCAAAACCAGACCACAAAGTGAACTCTGCAGGTACTCTATGTGATCCTTTGAGCCAACTTTGTTCTATTTTTCAAAATGGTCATAGTATTGAGGATTATGTGGAGGAGTTCCTTTTGTTTAGTCACCTTGTGCCTGGTGACGAGGCTATGTTAAGAGACTGTTTTTGGAGTGAACTTGATCCAGATATTAGCTTAAATTTACCCACAGAATACCCCAGCTGGACCCTGGCACAGTTTATTGACTTTGTCTTGCAGTTTTGTGGATCTCCCTTTACAGCAGTAGAGGTTGAGGAGGAGTTTGACCGTCCATGGGTTCCAGCATGCCCTACACTGAGGATCGCGAGCCCAGTATTTGTGGTGTCTTCTACTCTTGAGCCTATCCACAAAATGGCCACCGTTCCAGAGTCTCGTCCCATCATGGCCGTCGATCCAGAGTCTCGTCTCATCATGGCTGCCGTTCCAGAGTCTCTTCACGTCATGACAACCATGCCCAGTGCCTCAAGGTCAGTCCCAATCTGTCACAATCTCCAGCTGGAGTGCCCATGAACTCCACCAGTGCGCACTCCACCCCTGACTCTTGCCACTCTCTCAGACTCCATTTTCCATAATCCTTTTCATGGACTCATCAAACTCATTGTCTGCACCTGTGTCTCATTTACCCTGTCTGTTCACACTATATAAGCTTGGTTTAGTTTGTCATTCTTTGCGAAGTCTTGTAAGTGTTACACTGCATCTCTGAGCGTTTCTCCTGTTTATATGTATCTTGGTTTTTGGACTCTTAGCCCATGTTCTGGATTACCCTTTTGCCTGTGTTCCCTGCCTTGTTTAGTCGGACTGATTGCCTGTGTGTTGACCCTTGCCTGCTGTTTGATTTCGATTCTGGACTTTCCTAATAAACACTGCATTTGGATCCTCACTCAGTCTCAGAGCAGTTCCGTAACAGTTTTTTCATAACGTTCAGAAGCTTACCAAAAGTTCTGAGAATGTTCCCTGTTAGCTGGGTTGTGTTTGTTTCACCATCATCACAACAATTTCCTGCAGGTAAACATAGCTGATATTAAGAGTGAGATTACTGTGAAGTGGAATGATGGATGGATGCAGGTCAGAGAGTCCTCCAATCAGTCAGACATCGGAGATGATCAAAGAGATGAAAAGACCAAAGAGTTTATGGGACATTACAGTACAGGGAAGGTGCATTAGTTTCACCAGTGCTGCAGCATAGCTGCTTCAGCTTTTATGAGACTTTTTCATAGTACATTGATCTTATTTAGTGTGTTATTTATTTCTATTACTTACCTGTTTTCCAGCTCCATCTAGTGGTGGCCTCTATTCATTTGGATCAAGGAGATCTATAATAGCCTATCAGGAGAAAGCTATCCGTTAACCTTCACACACATCTCCATAGCTGGAAATACAGTATGCAATCCATTTTTGCTCTTGGACAGTTTTTTTTTTTTTTTTTTTTTAAGCCAATTTTCCATAACCATAAATGCAACTAATTACTCTAGAGATGCAGGAAAAAGGAAAAACCACTACACTGACTGGATGACAGCACCACAATTATGTGCACATAAATGCAACTAATTACTCTAGAGATGCAGGAAAAATATGCAACCACTACACTGACTGGATGACAGCACCACAATTATGTGCACAGTCTCAAACCCTTCACCAGCGACTTTCCTGACCATGAGTAACGTCAAAACAGAAAGACAAAAAATCTTAAAGTCCGTATCACGATTTTAATATCCCTCCAAAACTGTCCACAGGTAAAACATCTACTATATGTTGAAAAATGAAATTTAAGTTTTAAATGTTGTGTGCAAAAAGAGGCTACTTTTGAATACCCATAATTCAAGAAATAGTCATTTTAATGCATTTATGATGCTAAAAATATCTACATTTTAAATTGTCATTTTCATATATTTGTATTTTTACTAGGCCTGTTGAATGAATTACATTATATTTTTATAACTGAAATTAATTGCATGTCTAAATATTTACTGAGGGAATTGCAGTGTAATCGTGGTGAGAAGATTGCAGTAGATAGTCTAGGGCATGAATAGAGTACTCTCATGCTTGTCCTGTTCTGTTCCAGCTCTCATTACCCAGCTGTACTGCAATCCCATATTCACGGAAATTAGATCACATAGGAAATCTTATATGGAATAGACAGTAACTTGAGAGAGAAGTGTGTGTTTGTGTATGTTTGTGTTCTGTTCTAGAAACTAGAATACTGAAATATTAATAAATAATAATTGTTTGTGTTTAGGTTGAGTAGAGTGTTTAATGCCTTGTTGCATTAATATTTATAAGGAAAATAGCAATGATGAAAACATTACGTTTACAAGTGAAATTCTTGAATGGCCACATTCATATTTCCTATGGCTTTTCAAGTCAGACTATAGATGGCAATTAGAAAATTGGATCAGATGTGGTATTTATTTCTGAGCATTTAATAAACCACTTTACTAAACATGCATATGAAGGACAATACAACTAGACAACATAAAAACCATTTAATGCAAGTTGTGTCCGTCTGTAGCATATTACATGACTATTGTATTATGTAGGCAAATAACCAGTTGCATTCAGTTTTGTTCTACTTGTTTAAATCAGTAGTGAGGCTAACAATTTACACGTGAATGGATTTTGGTGAAATGGAGTGGACTTTCTGTACCTTCTCTCACTGTAAATATGAAGTGTACACATACTTAGCCTATATATGGCAATATTTGCTCATTTACAAAGCAGAGTTGCATGCTTAACTGTACAATGATAATAACTGCTATAGCCTTCATTGTTGTTTATTGCTTTACTGTGCTTGTTGTCCTTTTGATTGAGTTATAATGTTGGGTGTCACTGTCATAGTTGTTTATGTGCTGGGTATTAAATACTCTGCAAAGGAATTAGTGGTAGATATTGTTTGCATCTAGTAATGCAACAAATAGCATCTTGTTTAGGTGCAAATAGGGATAGATGCTATTAACACCAAGTGTAATATGAAGTAAAATTCTATATATTTGTACTTGAGGTATAATGTCTCTATGAGTGATAGTAATGAAAATAGCCTTTGACAAAAAGCTTTGCAATTTGCAGACTACTCATATGTAGGTATAGTCCTGATGTATTTAAACTAGGGCTGTCAGTTTAACGTGTTAACTTAATTAATTAGTTATGAAAAAACGTTAACGCAGTTAACGCTCTGGCCCCGCCCCCAGACCTCTACATCATTTTATATTTCATACAGTTGACTGTTGACAAATATGATGCAGGGCAATAACTCCATAAATGCAGTTATGCCCAAAAATTCAAGATATTGGTGCAAAAATGCCCCTGTATGTGTTTTTGTCTCATATTTATACCAAACGATATCACATGAGCAGGGAGAGCAGTAGCCTATTACACGAGTGCTGATTTTGTCCTGAATATCACGAGTTTAAATGTTGTTTTAAACAACAGTTGATATTGTGTTATATTTTAAACACAATATTATGTGTTTTTGCTCAATTTTGCAAAGAATATATTACCTTTTAAAGCAGTGCCGTTTCTAGGCATAGGCAAGCTAGGCGGTCGCCTAGGGTGCCACCAGCAGGAGGGGGCACCAATGAGAGCACGTACTGGCACTATATTTTAGCAGGGTTGTGATAAAGAGTGGCACAGCCACCCTGAAATATGATTGCCGTCCCCACTGGATCCCCCAACATCATTGGGCTAGAGTACTGTCATTCAGATGATGAATGTATGCCATTGGTTTAGAGCGCTGTCATTTGCTGCCTCTGATTGTTGCATGCAAAGTTTGTGTAGCATCTGGACCAATCAGACACACCATTTTTCATTTGATTTAACAAATCAATTATTCATTAGATTAACAAATAATCACAGACCCCTCACCCAATAAACATGCTGGGTGCCAGGATGTCTGCGAACGAACAGGCCTCTGATTCCATGGCAACCAATGCTGATATCACTGGTTTTATTGCCCAAAGGAATGCGGATAGAGAAACTCACTCATTTTCCTCATAAGACAGACACATAATGCCAAGAGAAATGGACTGTTCTCTAATTAATTCATAGGAAAACCTTTCTTTGAATGAACACGCATATCCTTCAGGTCATTGTGTATGTTGTTACTGTCCTTGTATATTGTCTTTTATATTGTATACTGTTTTATGCAGGCTTATGATAGAACCACTCGTTCATGTCATCTTACCTATATGTAATCCTACCATGTTTAGTATCTATGAATTCGTCTTCTGATGATCTAAACGAGAGTGTATATTATATGTTGGTACATAGGCAATATATTAGT